GCCCGCCTGGGGGCCCCCCTGGGGGCCCCCGGGGGGGCCGTGGCGGACGGTTTGGAGGGCGGCTTTGATGAGGCGGAGTTTGCGGTTTCGGAGCTGGAGGGCCTGGTGTCTCCTTTGCTGGAAGGCGAGCTTCTGGACGCGGAAGATCTCGTACTGCTGGCTGATTGTTGCTGCGTCTTCGAGCTGCAGCTTGAGAAGAGACAGGTACAACTCGGAGAGGGCCATGCCGCAGCCCATGACTTCGTTGTCGAAGATGTAGGCTGTCTCCTTTTGCTCCTCGCGGCTCAGCTCCGACAGCAGGCGCTGCGCGCGCGGCGCTGCGGGGACGGGAGACAGCGGGGGGAGGAGACAGTTGGGGACAGCGGGGGGGGAGGAGACAGGAGGGGACAGCGGGGGGGGAGGAGACAGTTGGGGACAGCGGGGGGGGAGGAGACAGGAGGGGACAGCGGGGGGGGAGGAGACAGGAGGGGACTAAAGGGGGTGGGAAGAGAGAGGGGGGCGAGGGAGACGGGGGCAGGTGGAAGGAGACAGTTTGGAGATAGGGGAGGAGCAGGGAGGTGGGAGGAGACAGCGGGAGACAGCGGGAGACAGCGGGAGACAGCGGGAGGTGGAGGGAGACAGTTCGGAGATGGGGGAGGTGGAGAGAGATGGGAGGCGAGAGGCGGAGGTGGAAGGAGGCACTTCGGAGACAGGGGAGGCGGAAGGAGACAGTTGGAGACACTTTGGAGACCGGTGGAAGCAGAACCCCAAGAGACACGAAGAGACGCACACAAAGGAGGCACACTGCAGAGACAGTGAGGAGACAGCCTAGGGAAAGACAGAAGGAGACAGACAGCCTGAGGAGACAGGAGGGAGACAGGAAGGCGAGGGGAGGGAGGGGCGTCTGACTGGGGAGGCGCGGGGTGTCTGTCTCCTTGGCAGTGTCTGAGGAGGAGGCGCGAGGGGAGTCGAGGGAGTCGGAGGAGCGGGAAGAAGTGTCTCCGTCGGAAAGGCCGGCCTCGAGGTCCCTGAGCCTGTCGGCGTCGAGTGTCTGTCTCCTTTTGCGGGCCCTGCGGGTCTCCCTGGCGAGCCTGCGTTCGACCTGGGCGAAGAAGCCCTCGAGGCGGTCGGAAGTGTCTCCTTTTCTGTCTCCGACGCCGCCGCGGCTGCGCTGCAGCCGCTGGTGCTGCTGCAGCGACCACTCCGCCAGCATCGAGATGTCTCCTCCCGCAATGGCGTTCAGGGACTTGTTGCACTCTTGTGTCTCCTCCTCCACTTTGTGAAAAGCAAAGCCCAGCCGCAACACGAACTCCAGGAAAGTCCCCGGGATCACGTCGAGCCTCATGTGCACGACGGCGAAGCCAAGTGTCTCCGCCATGACCTTGAGGAAGTACTGTCTCTCCAGCCCCGAGATCCCCGACGCAGACTGTCTCCACGGAGACTGTCTCCACGGAGACTGTCTCCTTTTCGCAGCCAGCAGCCGAATCAAGTCCCCCTCCACGTCGTACACCACGATCGGCTCCCAGCTCTTCCGCGTCGCCGACCACCGCGCGAAGCTCCGGAACAACAACCCCACCAAGGGGACTTTGAAAAAGGTTTTGTTGGCGCGCACACTGTCGAAGTATGCAAACGCCAAGTTCACGCTAACTTCGAGTGCAAACAACAAAAGAGCGACTCCCACCACCAGCGCCAGCGCCAGGTTCACGTTCACCGGAAAGTCCGAGCCCGATATCGCCTGCGCGCCCAACCGACCTCCACCCCTAAACCCTAAACCCTAAACCCTAAATCAGGGTTTCGGCCGCGGCACCCGGAGAGGGACGCGCCCCAGGCAGCGGGACCCTTCGGGGGAGGGCGGCGCGCCGGGACTCCGGTCACCTAAACCCTAAACCCTAAACCCTAAACCCTAAACCCTAAACCCTAAACCCTAAACCCTAAACCCTAAACCCTAAATGAGGGTTTGGAGGGCGACGGACCAGCATGATGCAGATTGTGAAGGTCCAAATGGACATGCTGTGGTTTTCGAGGTTGTCCAAGGTGGAGTAATTTCTGCAGACAAAAGGAGACTCGCGGACGCGCAGTCCGGCTGTACGTACACCTCGCCGCGAGGAGACACCCTCTGGGGTGCCCAGACAACTCGATCCCGGGATCGAAACCAAACGCTCAAGGACATTTGGAGACACTTGGAGACACTTGGAGACATTTGGGGATACTTGGAGATACTTGGAGATAGTTAGACACACTTGGAGACATAAAATAATAGGGAAAAGGAGACAACAAAGAATAAGACAAAGGAGAATAAGAAGAAGGAGACAGAAGAGATATTAAGGAGGAGACAAAAGAGAGATTACGAAGAAGGAGACAGAATAGAGAAAAAGAGACAGAATATAATAGTGCAAAAGAGACAGAAATAAGGGTGAAAAAGAAACAGAAGAGAATAGAGAAAAAGAGACGGAGACAGAAGATGAAAGAGAAAAAGAAGCAGAATGGTGCAAAGGAGACAGAAGGGAACAGCGAAAAAGGGACAGAAAATAGTAGTGGAAAAGAGACAGAAGAGAATAGTCCAAAGAGGCAGAAAATGGTAGAGAAAAGGGAAAGAAGGGAATAGAGAAAAAGAGACAGAAGAGAATAGAGAAAAAGAAACAGAAGAGAATAGTCAAAAGAGACAGAAGAGAATAGAGAAAAGAGACAGAAGAAGAGAATAGAGAAAAAAATACAGAAGAGAATAGAGAAGAAACGAGAGAAGAGACTAATGAAAAAGAAACAGAAGAGAATAGTCAAAAGAGACAGAAGAGAATACAGAAAAGGAGAGAGAAGAGCCCAAGGAGACAGAAGAGAAGGTTTGAAAGAAGGAGCCAGGGGAGCGCAAAGAGGGCGAGGAGACAGGAAAGGAGAGAGGAAAGGAGACAGCAAAGGGGCCCGAAAGGAGACAGCAAAGGAGCCCGAAAGGAGCCGGAAAGGAGACAGGAAGGAGGCGGAAAGGAGACAGGAAGGAGGCGGAAAGGAGCCCGAAAGGAGGCGGAAAGGAGACAGGAAAAAAGCCAACAAAGGAGACGGGAAGGAGGCGGAAAGGAGACAGGAAGGAGACCTCTTGTCGAAGGGCTGGGAGCGGAGGTGGTAAATGTTGAAGATGACGGCGATGACGGAGGCGGGCCAGAGTCTGCTGCAGTTGGAGACAGTGCTGCTGCTGAGGGCGGAGATGACCAAGACGCAGAGCTTGCGGGCAAAAACAACTGTCTCCCAGTACCAGAACCTGCGGACGAAGCCGTTGTGGAGAAAGCCGAACTTGAGGCGGGTCTCCCTGCTGTTGAGTCTCTTGCGGTTGGCATAGAGCACGGAAAAGGAGACAAGGGGGATCCCGATCCCCCACGCGGCGATCCCCACGATCCCGAGCAAGAAGTACCGGAAGTAGCTGCTCCGCGGCTGGAGACTGCAGGGGACACTCATGGCGGCGCGCAAAAGGGACTTGGTCCCGTGGGGGGCCCCGTAGTCTATGACGCTGCAGTCGAGGAGACTCAGCATGTTTCTGGTTGTTGCAGTGTGCAGAAAGAACAAAACTGTGACGTAAATGGGGATCATGTCTTCGACAAACTTGGCCCAGCGGCGCCAGGGAGAGTCTCCGGGAATGGGGATGTAGCGGAACATCATGAAGGCCCTGTCCTCCTGGAACTTGTCGCGGAGTTGGCGGGAGAGACTGTTGAGGCCGAACTTCTCGGTCTCCGCGAGCAGAGACAGTCTCTTTTTGATGGAGCCCCTGCAGTACTGCTGGAAGCGGCGGAGACAGAAGAATATGAGGAAGGTGGCGAGGACGGGAAGGCCCACGGGCAGCAGCGCGTAGAAGAGCATGGAGTAAAAGAAGGAGTCCGCGAAGGTGAGGGCAAAGCCCCGCCGAAGGAGACACTCGATGGCGAAGAAGCGCGAGCTCGAGTCCTTCTGCGTCATCGACTCGGAGACAGTGCTGGTGAAGCTGCTGACCCACTCCGGAAACCGGATTTTCGCAAAGTCCACGACTCCGAGCACGGAGAGACAAGTCAAAAAGTTCGTCGCAATCTTAATGACGATGGAGTGGATGGACCTGCGGTTGTACCCCGCGGCCACGTTCATGTAGGCCATCAGCACGTTGAAGAGCAAAAGGCCCAGCTGGTACCCCACGAACAGCAGCGCGTTGGAGACTGTCTCCGGACAGGCCCTGCAGACTTCGTTGCGCCCGAAGCCGTTGGTGAAGCCGGGCCGGCACTCGCTGCAGAGGAAGTCCCCCATGGTCTCCGCGCAGCCGCCGAACTCGAGGCAGGCCCCGGGGATGGGGCACTGCAGGAAGCGCCAGTCCGACGGAGACACCAGGGTCTCCTTTATCTTCTCCAAGAAAAACCCCGCCTGCGGGTACGGCTTCACGTGGTCCTCCGCCCCGATCGCCGCGAACGAGGGGTCTCCTAAAAGGGACTTTATCGCCAAGTCCGACAGTCCCCCCCGGCACACCGCCCCGTCGGGGCAAGCGTGGCAGGCCCCCGCCGCGAAGTAAAAGCCCTCTTCGCAGAAGCACTGCGCCTGCGACTGCGCCCCCGGGAGACTCGTCGCGGAGACTCCGCAGAGCCCGTTGCAGTTGATGTCTTGCACGGAGGACTTGTAGGAGCCTTCGCTGCAGGCCTCGCAGACCTTCACGCCCCGCGCCGCGTCCACGAACTTGAACGCGTAGCCCCGCTCGCACTTGCCTGCACCGGTGGACGAAATGGAGACGAGTGCGACAAAATGCAGACAAATGGAGACAAAATGCGACAAAATGCAGACAAACGGAGACAAAATGCGACAAAATGGACACAAATGCGACAAAATGGACACAAATGCGACAAAATGCAGACAAAAAGGAGACAAATGCGACAAAATGGACACAAATGCGACAAAATGGACACAAATGCGACAAAATGGAGACAAAATGGAGACAAAATGGAGACAAATGCGACAAAATGGACACAAATGCGACAAAATGGACACAAATGCGACAAAATGGACACAAATGCGACAAAATGCAGACAAATGGAGACAAAATGGGACAAAATGGAGACAAAAAGGAGACAAAATGGACACAAATGCGACAAAATGGACACAAATGCGACAAAATGCAGACAAATGGAGACAAAATGGGACAAAATGCAGACAAAAAGGAGACAAATGCGACAAAATGGACACAAATGCGACAAAATGGACACAAATGCGACAAAATGCAGACAAATGGAGACAAAATGGGACAAAATGGAGACAAAAAGGAGACAAATGCGACAAAATGGACACAAATGCGACAAAATGGACACAAATGCGACAAAATGCAGACAAATGGAGACAAAATGGGACAAAATGGAGACAAAAAGGAGACAAATGCGACAAAATGGACACAAATGCGACAAAATGGACACAAATGCGACAAAATGGAGACAAAATGGAGACAAAATGGAGACAAATGCGACAAAATGGACACAAATGCGACAAAATGGACACAAATGCGACAAAATGGACACAAATGCGACAAAATGCAGACAAATGGAGACAAAATGGGACAAAATGCAGACAAAATGGAGACAAATGCGACAAAATGGACACAAATGCGACAAAATGGACACAAATGCGACAAAATGCAGACAAATGGAGACAAAATGGGACAAAATGGAGACAAAAAGGAGACAAATGCGACAAAATGGACACAAATGCGACAAAATGGACACAAATGCGACAAAATGGAGACAAAATGGAGACAAAATGGAGACAAATGCGACAAAATGGACACAAATGCGACAAAATGGACACAAATGCGACAAAATGGAGACAAAATGGAGACAAAATGGAGACACTTGATGTGCTGCAGGTACCACGGGGACGGCAGCAGTGATCATGTATAGTTGTATGTGTTTCGGCAGGTTTATTAATAAATAAATAAGCAGACAAATTAGCAAATTAATATATTAATTAATTTGTTTGTTCATTTTGCCTTTTTAATTGTTTATTTTGTTTGTTGTTTTGCGGAGAGACACGAAGGGTCTCCTTTCGGCTCCGCCGAGAGGCAGAAGTGAAAAAGAAGCAGACAAAAAAGGAGACAAAAAAGGAGACACTTCTGCGAAATTGAGAAGCTTGTGTTCAAAGTGTCCCTTTTTATCTTATTCAACATGAGGCACTTATTCTTGCCTTTTTGCATTTGTTTATGTCTATTTGCATTTGTATCTTCTACTTTATTTTGTTTTATTTTATTTTATTTTATTTTATTTTATCTTATTTTATTTTGTTTTATTTTATTTTATTTTATTTTATTTTATTTTATTTTATTTTATTTTGTTTTATTTTATTTTGTTTTAATTTATTTTGTTTTATTGTATTTTATTTCATTTTTTTCATTTATCATTCTAGTTTTCTATTCGTTTATTTTGCATCATGTTGTGCGTTTACTCGCACACTCATACCCCAAACATTTGAAGGAATAAAAATAAATAAATACAAATAAATAAATACAAATAAATAAATACAAATAAATAAATACAAATAAATAAATACAAATAAATAAATACAAATAAATAAATACAAATAAATAAATACAAGTAAATAAATACAAATAAATAAATACAAATAAATAGATACAAATAAATAAATACAAATAAATAAATGTAAATAAATAAATGTAAATAAATAAATGTAAATAAATAAATGTAAATAAATAAATCCAAATGTAATATTTATTTTAAAAATAAAAACAAAAAATTAAAGGTAGATATAATCTAAATGTATAAAGAAATATGAAACACATTTGTGTATTTGTAAAAGTGTCTCCAAATGAGTAATGCGTAAAAGTGTCTCCAAACAAATAAATAAAGATGGAAGCATTTGTATTTAAATGTGGATTAAAGTGTCTCCAAATAGACAAATAAAGGAGCAAACATTCACATTTAAATGTTCATTTAAGAGTCTCCAAATGAATAAATAAAGGTGTAAATGTCTATGTTAAAAATGCGTTAAAGTGTCTCCAAAGGGGTAAATAAAAATGCAAAAATGCACAGGGGTTAAAACAGAGACAGAACGAGAGACAAAAAGGTACACAGAAAGAGACGGAGACAGAGACACAAAAAGAGACAGCAAGAGAGACAAAAAGAGAGACAAAAAGAGATAAGAAGGAAGACAAAAAGAGGGACGAAAAGAGCTTCTGGAGACAGCTGAGAAGCTGTGGGGACAAAAGGAGACAGTAGAATTCTCTTATCCCCAGCAGCAAAAGGAGACAGTAGAACTACCGCGTCAACACAACACAACAACAACAGCTGCCGCAGAGCCACAACAGCAACAACTGCAGCAGCAAAAGGAGACAGCAGCAGCAGCAGCAGCAGCAGCAGCAGCAGGGGCTGACAGTCGTCGATGGAAGAGGGCGTGTCGAAGCCCTCGATGATGCGGGTGTACTTGGGGCAGTCCACGGGGGGCAAGGGTCTCCTCCCCGCGACGCACTCGGGGTCCGCAGTGTCTCCTTTCTGCAGCAAGCCGTCTCCTTCCTGCAGCAAGCCGTCTCCTTTCTGCAGCGAACTGTCTGCCTGCTGCAGCAAACTGTCTCCCCGCTGCAGCAAACTGTCTCCCCGCTGCAGCAAACTGTCTCCCCGCTGCAGCAAACTGTCTCCCCGCTGCAGCAAACTGTCTCCCCGCCGCAGCAAACTGTCTCCCCGCCGCAGCAAACTGTCTCCCCGCTGCAGCGAAGTGTCTCCTTCGCGCAGCAAAGTGTCTCCTTTCGGGAGACAGTCCTCCGCGCCGCCCGGGCAGTACCTGCGGGGACTCTTGCATGCGAGGCACTCGCGGAGGAGACTGTCGTAGAAGTAGCCGGGGCGGCAGAGACACTGGGAGGAGGAAGTGGAGCCTGTGCTGTCTGTCCCCGAGTTCTCGCTGCAGGGTTTGCAGGCCTCGTTGCCGATCCAGTCCTTGTAGGAGTTGACGCTGCAGCTGCTGCAGCTGCTGCTCTCGCCCCCCGATCCCGATCCCGATCCCGATCCCAGCCGGTAAAAGCCCCGCGCGCAGAGACAGTCTCTGCTCGAACTGCTCAGAGACCCCACAGTCGTCGTGTCTTGGGGACACTTCGAGAGACTCCGGTGCAGGCCCGTCTTCGGGTCCAGGCCCCCCAGGCAGTAGTAGCCCACGGGACACGGCTGCGCAGACGCGGACACCCGCCAGCAACTGTCTCCAAACTGTCTCCAAACTGTCTCCAAACTGTCTCCAAACTGTCTCCAAACTGTCTCCAAACTGTCTCCAACTGCCAACAACTGCCAACAAAAAGGTCTCCAACTGCGGCAAAACTGTCTCCAACTGCGGCACAACTGTCTCCAACTGCGGCACAACTGTCTCCAACCGCGACAAAACTGTCTCCAACAGGCGACAACTGCCAACGACTGGCAACAACTGTCTCCAAGTGTCTCCAAAACTGTCTCCAACTGTCTCCAACTGCCAACAACTGGCGACAACTGTCTCCGTTCGCTGTCTCTAAGTGGCCCCAACTGGCTCCAGCTGTCTCCAGCTGGAGACAGCTGTCTCCAATTGCCTGTCTCCAACTGTCTCCACCTGTCTCTAAGTGTCTCCACCTGTCTCCAACGGTCTCTAAGTGTCTCCATCTGTCTCCAACTGTCTCTAATTGTCTCCATCTGTCTCCAACTGTCTCCATTTGTCTCTAGCTGTCTCTAAGTGCCTCCAAGTGTCTCCAAGTGTCTCCAATTGCCTGTCTCCAACTGTCTCCAACTGTCTCTAACTGTTTCCTACTGTCTCCAACTGTCCCCGTTGGCTGTCTCCAAGTGTCTCTAAGTGTCTCCATCTGTCTCCAACTGTCTCCATCTGTCTCCAACTGTCTCTAAGTGTCCCCAAATGTCTCCAACTGTCTGTCTCCTGTCTCCAACTGTCTCTAAGTGTCCCCAAATGTCTCCAGTTGCCTGTCTGTAACTGTCTCCAACTGTCGCCAACTGTGTCCAAACAAGTAAGGCCCGGCAGGTTATCCCTTTTAGTTGGGGCGAAGGACTTTTAGTGTCTCCTTTTTATTTGTATCTCCTACTTGTTAGTGTCTCCTAATTATTCGTGTCTCCTAGTTGTTAGTGTCTCCTTGTTCTCAGTGTCTCCTTGTTATTTATGTCTCCTTGTTATTTGTGTCTCCTTGGTGTTTGCGTCTCCTCTTTATTAGTGTCTCCTTGCTATTTGTGACTCTTTGTTATTTGTGTCTCCTAGCTTTTAGTGTCTCCTCGTTGCTAGTGTCTCCTCGTTGTTAGTGTCTTCTCTTTAATACTGTCTCCTCTTTATTAGTGTCTCCTCTTTGGTAGTGTCTCCTCTTTATTAGTGTCTCCCCTTTAATACTGTCTCCTCTTCATCGGTGTCTCCCCCTTATCGGTGTCTCCTCATTATTAGCGTCTCCTCATTATTAGTGTCTCCTTTTTATTAGTGTCTCCCCTTTATCCGTGTCTCCCTTTTAATAGTGTCTCCTCTGTATTAGTGTACCTCCTTAATAGTGTCTCCTCTATAATAGTGTCTCCTCTCTATTAGTGTCTCCTCTATAATAGTGTCTCCTCTATAATAGTGTCTCCTCTATAATAGTGTCTCCTCTATAATAGTGTCTCCTCTCTATTAGTGTCTCCTCTTGATTAGTGTCTCCTCATAAGTGTCTCTGCCCAAGTCTCTACCCACAACTGTCTCCCCAATGCCGTCCCCCAACAACTGTCTCCTCACAACTGTCTCCTCGCAACTGTCTCCTCACAACTGTCCGCATTCAACTGCCTCCTCCCAAATGTCTCCTCCAAAACATCTCCTTCAAACTGTCTCCCTTAAACTATCTCCTTTAAACTGTCTCCTCTAAACAGTCTCCTCAAACTGTCTCCTCAAACTGTCTCCTCAAACTGTCTCCTCAAACTGTCTCCTCAAACTGTCTCCTCAAACTGTCTCCTCAAACTGTCTCCTTACTTCGCAGGTTTTGGTGTTTTGGTCGAGGTAGTAGCCCGCGCTGCAGACGCAGTCTGCGAGGGAGGTGGAGGCTGTCTGCACGGTGTTGCTGCCGGGGGGACACTCGATCCCGGAGACGTTCCCAACTGTCTCCTTGAACGATCCCAGCTCCACGGGCCTGCACACCACCTTTTGGTTCACGCTGTCCAGCCCCGCGTACTCGTAGCCCGCCGCGCACCTGAGACATTCCAACTTTCACATTTAATTTGATTTAATTTAATTTGAGTTAGTTTGATTTGATTTGATTTGATTTGATTTGATTCAATTCGGTTTGATTTGATTTGATTTGGCTTAGTTTGGTTTGATTTATGCTTGTGTTTTTAGTTGGATTTGCATTTGGGAGTGGGGACCGTTTGGAGACAGAAACAAAAGCAAAAAGAGAGACAGAAGTAGAAACAGAAACAAAGACGGAGAGAAAACAGGAAAAACAAAAGAACAGCAACAACAACAACAATAGGAACAAAAGAACAAAGAATAAAAGAGTAAAGGAGTAAAAGCAGAAAAGAATAAAAGAACAAAAGAATAAAAGAACGAAAGAACAAAAGAACGAAAGCGTAAAAGAAAAGGAAAAGAAAAAGGAACAAAAAGGAGAAGGAGACAGTGGGCCTTGCATGCAGCTGTGCGGGGACTTGTTCTCGTGGTTGGGTTCGACGGTGAGGGTGTTGGGGCTGCAGGGGACTTTGTCGCCGGCGAAGGGCTTCAAAGTGTCTCCTTGGGGATCGGATCCCACGCAGAAGTGGTGGGGCTTGCAGGCCCCACAGGGCAGGTCCTGGCTGGCCGTGGGGTAGAAGCCGGGGAGACAGTTGCTGCAGCTGTCCCTCGAAGTGGGGGCCGAGCTGCTGGCGAAGGAGTGCAGGGGACACTGGAGACAGGCCTCCGCGGAGACCCGGCCCTTGAAGTGTCTCCTTCCGCACCCCACACACACCTGGCTGTCTCCGAGCGCCGCGTACGCCGGGTGCAGCAGCAGCCACCGCCGCAGCAAACTTGCTGCGCTGCTGGGGTCTCCGAGGGCCTCGGGGGCTGCGGGCTGGTAGCCGGGTTTGCAGAGACAGTGGCTCAGGTCTGCAGCAAGTCCTGCTGCAGCACTTGTCGAGGTGAAGGGGGGACACTTCACGGGGACAGCTTTGAAGCCCCCCAGCGAAAAGTGTCCCTCTTCCACCTCCACGCACCGCAGCTCCTCCTCCTCGTGCACTGCGTAGTAGCCCGGCAGGCTGCAGCAGCAGCAGCAGCAGCAGCAGCAGCAGCAGCAGCAGTGCTGCAGCGGCGGCGGAGCGGCGGCGGCAGCTGCTGCTGCTGCATGCGCAGGGACGGGGTCGACGGGCTGGGCGGGGGGACACTGGGGAGACAACGGAAGACAAACCCTACACCCTACACCCTAAACCCTAAACCCTAAACCCTAAACCCTACCAGGAGCAGTGCCGGTCGTCTGAGGAGACAGCGCCTTCAACGTGGGACACTGAATTTGCTGGGCAGCCGCCCCCAGTGCAGCCCGTGTCCCCCACAGTGTCCTTGTACCACCCTGCACGCAAACCCTAAACCCTAAACCCTAAACCCTAAACCCTAAACCCTGAACCCTAAGCCCCAAACGGCCTCTCAGTGCCTCCGCGCGCCCTCTCTCCCCCTCTGCCGCTCCCCTGCGTCCCCGAGTCTCCTCCCTCCCGCCCCCCGCCCCGTCCCCCGTCGCCCCTCCCCCAAACCCTAAACCCTAAACCCTAAACCCTAGCGGACCGGCGGGGCAGGGGGTGCACTCGGACTGCCCCTGTTCCTTGTGGTAGCCCTTGGCGCAGAGACACTGGTCCTGGCTGGTGGAGCCCTCGGCAACTGTCCCCTTTTTGGGGGGACACTTTCTGCAGCTGGAGAAGTGGACTTGGGGAGTCTCCTTGACGAGGGCCAAGTTGTTGAAAGTGCCTGTGGGGCAGCGCATGCACATGCCCGCGCTGTAGAAGTGGCCGTCCCTGCATGCGACGCGGAAGGAGACACTCGTGGAGGTGCTGGAGACGATCCCAGTCCCCACAACTTGGAAGGAGACAGTCTCCTCCTGGATGTCCCGCAGCCGCAGCGTCAGCACCCCTGTCTCCTCGTCCACGGAGACGTTGCGCAGCGCGAAGGCGCGCTGCTGCGGGGTGGCCGCGGGGCCGAGCGCGAAGCTGCTGAGGCCCGGAGACGATCCCGCCGATCCCAGAGACGATCCCGCCGATCCCACCACCGAAGGCTCCAGCACCTGCTCCTCCCCCAACGCGTACCACTCCCGCGCAGTGTACTTGAACTCCGGAGTTGCTGCAGTGGTGTCCAGCGGCAGCAGCTGCAGCAGGGGCCCCTCGAAGGAGCTGTGGAAGGTCATCAGCCACACGGAGCTCAGGTCCCCGGAGGCCCCCTTGGGGGCCCCCCGCGGGGCCCCCGGGGCCCCCCCCCGGGCGCCCCCGGAGGCCTCCGTCGCCGCGCCCGAGGGGGCCCCCGAGGGGGCCCCCGACGGCGGGGGCCCCGTCTG